ATAACCAGGTCCTCGGCCTCCAGAATATCCAGATCCCMTTCCTCCAACAAAACCAGACCCTCGACCCTTTGCTTGGCGGACAATCGACATTTACATGTTGAGGCGAATTACAAGTAAAACACCTCCGCATCATTCGACAATCTCGAGCTATATGTCCTGGTTCCTGACATTTAAAACATACTCAAGATTCGATATTACAATTTCCCTGATGTATCTTATGACATCGGGTGCATGCCCTATCAGCAAATCTTGAGATTGGCCGATTCAAATTTTTCATAAACCTCGGTCTACGAAAATCAGTTACTGTAGCTTCCCCTTTTATCTTCTCTCCAACCTTTTCTTGTGGTTGTCGGTTAATATCTTGTTCTAGTATTTCAGCTGCATCAACTGCCTCTTGAAATGTTATCGGATTTCTGGATATAACATATTTTTGAAGATTCGACTCCAACCCCAAGATATACTTTCTCACTTTATTGTTTCAGATATAATATAGGCTTCAGCAAACCTAGATTGTTCCATAAAAACTTTTGTATATTGGCGGACTGACATGTTTCCTTGCTCAAGACGAAGGAAATCATCTTCCAACTTTCGTACTGCAGCTTCAGGACAATACTGCATTTTAAACTTAACCATAAATTCWTCCYACAACATGGTCTTCAAAATGTTCGGATCTGAACTGGACAGGACAACCAGTATAATTGCACTTGATCTCAAATGAGATACAACAAACATGACTTTGTCCTCTTCTGCACTTTTACTGATTTGCAGACTCAACTCTATCTCCTTAAGCCAACACATGGCTTTAACAGAATCACGCTCACCAGAAAACTTGGGAGGTTTACAAGCAAGAAACATTTTGATATCTCCTCCTTTTTGTACTGAAGATGAAGTAAAGGGTACAGATGTACCAATTACCGGTGTACTAACTCCGGCTTCCTCCTGATAATTGGAATTTCTTACCACTTCTGGATTATTTTGGGTTGTACGCCCCAACAAATTCCCCAAACTTTCTTGGAATTTTCCCAACTCTGCTGCCAACATTTCTTGGGTAATAAATCCGGGATCAGTGTAACACCCCAATCCACATATTGCATATAACACATATATTGATACATAGAATACATGTGTTCCTCACATAGGTCTATGATACAAGAGTTTGGAATATAAAATACACAACCCAAAAATTCCAAAAGTACATAATCTGGTATCCTAGCATCTAAGCTTCCGAAACAGCTAAGCATATAGGGAAGTAATTCATATAACACGCTTTCCCTTATTATCGTTACCTGCACACATAATTTAAAAACACAAAAATGAGGGTTTGACATGAATGTCTAGTGAGGTTCCCTTTTATGTAATGCAGGGTGAAGATCACCAAAACATTTCTTTCAAATCATTCAACATATGAAGCAAAATTAAAAACATATTGCTTCGGTCCATCGGACCTCTGGTTTCAAACAACACTTGGAAAATATTTCGACAACCAGGACCAGAGCCCCTCTAGTCTCTCTTCCAGAGCTTCTGGTCTTCATGACCAGAGCCGCTGGTTTCACTCCATAGAATAATTTTCAATACAGGACCAGAGCTCCTCTGGTCTCTCTTTCAGAGCTACTGGTCTTCATGACCAGAGCTCTGGTTATACTAACCAGCACCTTTGACTCATATAATTTCTCAAAAACGATCTTCATATAAACCTACAATCAATAAGATAGCCTTTTACATAAAACGAGCAATTATAAAAAGTTCATGTTCGACCAGAGCCTCTGGTTGTACTAACCAGAGCTTCTGGTTCCAAAGACATGACCAACCAGAGCCTCTCTGGTTCAACGTGTAAGTCAACCAGAGCTTCTCTGGTATGTTTTTCATAAAAAGACTAAGTATAAAAACTCTTTCGAATAACCATTTCAAAACAATGAATCAAATCACTAAGCTTTCTTCTCAAGATATAAAGCTTATTTTTCCAAACCAATAAATCTTATAAAAGATTTTTCATAAATAACCAGCATCCTCTGGTTCCATTATGAGAGTCAAACAGAGCTTCTATGGTCATTGCAAGGTATAACCAGAGCTACTATGTTCCCTTATAATCAATGCTTTTACCCAAAGCATTATTACTCAATTATATTATCTCTAATACCATCACATCATTACCATCATTTCTACTAAAGACAACATCTCTAAATCCTCAAATCACCAAAAAGTGAGAACTCTAAGCTGTTGTAACTCTAATAGTTATCATGGTAAGAGTTAGGCGATGCCGATACCGTCCCACCATATACCCTCCAAATTATCTTCTTTACATGATGTTCCACCCTTATATCCTCCTGCTCATTAATATGAAGTAGTTCATCCAAAGACAGACCTCAGTTACCTGTCAGAGTGAACCTATTCATTATCCTCAAATTAATATCATGGTTCCAACATAGGTTTATACTCAAAACCTTTTGTTCTCAAGAACAATCTGTTCTCCTCGAAACAGTTGAAAACTCTGTTTTTCCATAAACTCTTTCAAACTGTTTTAAAACCTAGATACTGTTTAATTCTTTTCAAAACTGTTCCAAAAACAGATTTAAACAGCAACTTCTCAAGGCTGTTGAAGAACACCACTCTATTTGATGTTTATCAAAATCAAATTCCAAGATAACAACATCATAAAACTGTTAAAAACAGTTTATCATCTTAACTTCAAAACCAATATCAAACTCAACAGTAGTTTAAAACTCATAGTTATACTCAACAGTAGTTTAAAACTCACAGTTTTACTCAACAGTAGTTTAAAACTCACAGTTATACTCAATAGTAGTTTAAAACTCTCCTTATCAAACAGATTTCTTGAAGATAAACACACAGCAAAAGCTTATTCTTAGCACAGATTCTTCAAGAACACTTTTCACCACAACCTTTCTTTCTCTTTTGAACAGACTTCAATTTGAAATGATAAGATAAAATCTTATCTTTTTACTTCTTTAAATACTCTCACCAAGGCGGTGAAGATTATTTTAGTTATAAAAACTTAAAGGCGGTGAAAGCTTCCTCCAATAGAAATAATCTTGGGCGGTGGATTTTACATTATAAAATTCATGATATCTTAACCATGAAGATACAATGATTTCACCCGAATATTTAAACTCAATAAACACCACCTCATGCATGCTTCATACAACATGCATACACGTATGAATTATATATGTCATGCTATCTTTGCATGATATCATGTTCATATTTCACATAAATGCTTCATGCATTTCTACTTAAATATGCACATTTCACATAATCCAAATAATAAACATGTATAATTTACCTCAACCCAGGTTGTCTCAGACCCGGTTATAACAATCAGGAACATTGTGTCCACTCTTTGCTCTTCCTCTTTCATGACCAGACATTGAACTTTCTTGAGCTGACAGTTCTTGTTCTTGTCTAGTATCTCTACCTCTTCCTCGACCCCTGCTACGACTTCGCGTTTATATTACATTTTCCAGGTCCTCTCCTTGGGTTACATTTCTTCTTCCCTGACCTCTTCCATATCCAGTAGAGGTCCTTTCTGATTGATTGAGATTATCTGCCATTTCTCAGTATATAACTCTTTCTGTCACATTTAAACACACATGATTATTTTCATAATCAAAACATAAAAACACATTCATCCTCAAGTCTATCCATAACTCAGATTATATCAATCTTATATAATCTATCTTTCTCATAATAGGTTCAGCTATAACATATTTCCCAAGTTCATAGACCCAGTGAAACCTATTATCATAACTTTCCAGACCTCTAGTTTAAGTCTAAGTATTTCGCAAATACCCAGATCCTTAAACTAAGGCTTTGATACCAACTGAAACAACCCACATATTCCATATACAGATAATTCACATCATCATACTTATAACACCAAATGTAACATTGTTTACAAAATACAGATAAACAAAAACTTTCTTAAAATACATTTTGAATAACTAAATGTCATTCATTCTAAACTTTTCCCTTGCCTTTATCTTGCGAGGTATGATGACCTGCAAAACAGGTTAGTCCAACAGCTGAGCGTTAGACCAAAAAGGTCTAGTGAGTATATAAATCTCAACAAACAACATACTTTCCAAACAATCAGTTTAGAATCAAACCTGTTCTGATACATAAACTTATTTATGTCTCTCGCGGTTATACCGCCATTATATCTCTCTCGCGGTTACACCGCCATTACATTTCTCTCTCGCGGTTACACCGCCGTTACATCTCTCTCGCGGTTACACCGCCATTACATCTCAAAACATTTCAAAAACATTTCAACACATTAACCGGATTTGAAGTCCGGTCAACCTTGTCCAGATATGTAATCCGGACAAACACTTAGATTATCAAGAGTATCCATCATCTTCGGTCAGCAATTCGGACAACACCTCGTATAAGTTTTGTCCGGTTAACACTTAGAATTAAGTTAATATCTTTGTCCGGATATGAAGTGCGGACAATACCTCGCTCACAACTTAATCGATTTAAAGCAATCTGGACAATACATCGCCCAACCTTTGACCGATTTAAAACAATTTGGTCAATACATCACCCAACCTTTGACCGATTTAAAACAATCTGGTCAATACATCGCCCAACCTTTGACCGATTTAGATGAGATCCGGTCACCTCTTGACCGGTTTAATGAGGACTCCGCACGCTCTTTGTCCGGTTTAACACTTAATTAAATATTTATGAAAAGCAGTTCATAAATAGCAGATTCTAACAGTAAAAGATGTAATAACCAATACTTTAAAGCAATATACACTCACTTTACCAAAAGATGTTGAATGGATTTGAACCAGTCTGCACTCTCTCAAAAGACTTGTACTCCAGAATCTTAGTAAGTCTTTAAATATTATATGCACTTGCTATTTATAGCAAGTGCATAAACCGCCATCCACTTAAATATTAAAACAATTACTCACACGCACACACACACACACATCTAATATATATATACAAATTTCTAAATCTAAAACCAAAAATTATGAAACATGAATATTACAGCAAACCAGATCCGGTGGTTCATCCTTCCAAAGCATACGATCTTGTGTAGGAAGACGCCTCTGACAAGCAAGCCACAAACAGAATGCATGTTTAGGGATATGGCCATAGAACAAAACCGCTTTGTGCCAAGGAACGACCGGGAGAGATCTCTCTAAAACAGCCCAAGCATTACTCACCGTGAAGTCTGAAGCAGAAGTGAGATCTTCCCCCCAAAGAACTCTATCACGAACTGAATCAATCAACGAAGGTAATGGAGAAGTATGCAGCTCAGCAAACCTACTACTCCAATCATCCGGCCAAATACCATCCCAACTCATTAAAAGATCACGAACTGTCGTAAAAGTAGAGAACCCACTTGAATAGACAAACCGATAAGAGATAAAAGCCGAAAGATGACCACAGGATAGCCAACTATCCTCCCAAGCATTTGTATCCCGACCATCACTAACCTAGGAAAACAAAAATCTTCGCAATTGAGTACGTAAGTCCAACAGCTTGCGAAAGATCCACGACCAATTTGAGTTTTTGCTAACCAGCCAGAAGGGAGAGGAGCGAAGATTATGACTATACACCCAACAAACCCACAAAGAATCCCGATGCCTCACAATATCCCACACATGTTTAGCAAGTAAAGCTCTATTCCAAGTGGACAATCGCTTAATCCCAAGGCCTCCAGAAGCAAGAGGTCGACAGACCATATCCCAAGATAATCTACATCTACCGCRAGGATCATCCCTTAGAGCCCAAAGGAAATTCCTAAAAATAGATTCAAGATCATGGATTCCCGCAGACGGGAATAAGAACACCGACATCCAATGAAGTTGGAGGGATTGCAGGACCGATACGATAAGTTGACGTTGCCCCCCTCCAAACGACAGAAACTTGGACTTCCAATTAAGAATGCGACCCTTCACCATAGCAATTAACGGAGCATAATCACATAGCTTCAACCGAGCCTGAGATAAAGGGACCCCCAAGTATCGGACAGGAAACGAACCAAGCTTGAAAGGAAGACACTCTAGAATGGCCTCCTTAATGTTAGGAGGAACATTACCAAAGTAACTTTCGCTTTTTTCAAGGCTTGGTGCTAACCCCGAACGACTCTGAAAAAGAAAGAGTGCCTTTTTGAGCAGTTCCACTGAAAGAACATCCCCTTTAGTAAAAACAAACAAACCATCAGCGAAATAAAGATGTGTGAAATGCAGCTCTTCACAACCCCGATGGTAACCAAAATCAGCAGCTTCCCGAATGTAATGCTTAAGGAGCATAGAAAACCCTTCCATCACAACATGAATAGATAAGGGGATAAAGGATGCCCTTGCCTAAGACCCCTCCGTCCATGAAAAAACCCATAGGAATTACCATTGATCGCAAGTGAGTAGGAGGCGGTAGACACCATCTCCCTTATCCACTTGACTAGAACCGGATGGAATCCTAAACCTTGAAGCATAACAATGAGGAAACGCCAGTCCACAGTATCATAAGCTTTTTTTATATCAATTTTGAACGCACACCTAGGTGGTTCCGACGACGTCTGGTACCCAGAAACAAGCTCATGTGCCATAAGAATATTATCCGTGATCCTCCTACCCGGGATAAACGCTGATTGGGCTTTATCAATTAAGGAATCCAAAGATCCCTTCATTCTGTTAACAATGACTTTACTAATGCATTTGTAAAGCATTGTACAGCAAGCTATGGGCCGGTAATCCGTAACCCGAGATGCATTAACAGATTTAGGGAGAAGACAGATAAGAGTATGATTCAAATTCTTCGGGAGGTTACCTCGATAAAAGAAATTGTGGATAGCAAGCTCCACATCACGGCCAACAATATCCCACGCAGCTTTGAAAAACTTGGAAGAAAAACCATCAGATCCAGGAGCTTTATAATAGCATAGCATTTTTAATTTCGTCATTTAGAATCGGCCGGATCATGTGGTTAGCTTGCGATAAAGAGAGCTTTCTCATGAAGACATCATCAGGCATAGACGGATCGGGGGAGACATACCTCATACCCAAAAAATCTTTAAAATGATCAACGAACACTATCAGGACATCTTCACCATAGAAGTAATCACCACCACCAATACAGACCGAATGAATGGAGTTGGTGTGATGCCTCTCTTTGATCACCTTATGGAAGAATTTGGTATTCATATCACCATCATTTAACCATTTAATTTTAGCCCCTTGCTTAGTAGCACATTCTTCGTCCCAACAAGCATTCTGATACGCAATACGGATATGGCCAACTTCAAGTCCCAACTCGTCATTAGAAGGGTCTTTATCTACATCCAACTGAATACGATCCAATTCAGTCTTCAAAAAAAAGACACATTTTGCAAGGTTACCATACGAATTTTGAAGTTTACGAAGCGGAGTCTTGAGAGCCTTCAAGTGAGAAGTCACTCGAAACATAAAGGTGCCCTCAATATTTTTAGCCCATTCGTCCTTAACAACTTGTAAAAAAGCAGGGTGGTCAGTCATGAAACTGTCGAATTTGAAGCCATACCTCTTTTTCCGAGTGCCACCTTTGAAAGATAAGACAACCAGCGAATGGTCCGAAAGGCCCGAAGGATGAAACTGAACTCTGGCATCATGGATTTCAGAAATAAAATCTGAATTAGCCATAGCCCTATCGAGTTTGCGCAAGATACCCCCTTTAGCGTTCAGCTTTTGGTTCCAAGTGAAATGGACACCAGAGTAATGTAGGTCAAAAATTTCAACATCCTCAACGCACGTAAAAAAGTTAGACATATCCGCATTACGACGAGAAGACCCACCAAACCCATCATGGGGAAATAACATGGTATTGAAATCCCCCATTACAACCCACAGATGAGTACCAATCAGAACTTTAAATTTCCTCAATCCTGACCATAAATCTCTTCTGGCATTACAAACATTAGCCCCATAGACCAGAGAAAGGAAAATATAATCTTGGCCACCCCTTAAAAATACCTTACAATTTCGGAATTGACTATGGGCTTCCAAGGCCACAACATCTAAAGCTTGTGGATCCGATTGACCAAACAAATTTGGGCAAACACTTTCTAGGGAATCCTTAGAAACATGTGATTCTACAATGGCACACAAACACAAATCATTACAATGAATAAAATTTCTCACCTCTTTTTGCTTAACCGGAGAGTTGAGCCCCCAGATATTCCACGAAGAAAAGTTCAACATGATGAAGAGGTTGGAACATCCCCTTGGCCCCTATTGTCCTCATCCACAATTCGAACAACATGATCTTTTCCAGCACCAACCTGAGAGTCCGCTTGAGTACCCTCTCCCCCTAATTGCTCAAGAACGCCAAATCTGTTGGAAGCTTCCACAGGGTCTTTCATAACCCCCCTTCGAGGCAAACGAAAGTTTTTTATCACAGAAGAAAGGAGTGGAGTAGAAGTAGCCATAGGGTGAGAAGATTGGTAAGAATGGGAGGAAGAGGCCACGGAAACAACATTTAAACCAAAATCACCAGAAACATTCCGCACAATTTTACCTTGTTGAACAACCGGTTCACCACCCGAGGCGCCCATAATCCTTTCCTTTTCCTGTTCATGTTGTGAATTATTCGCTACCAAGGACGATGCAAGAGGGCCAGACTTGCCACTCTCAATAACCTGCCGGGTACCATGGAGATTGGGCTTACCTCCAGATTTGGCGCGCCAATATTTTTTCTCCACTCTAATAAACCCTTCGGAGTCTTTCCACACATCAACATGCTTCCCTTTATTGTGACAAGCGGCTTTTACACAGGTCGACTTTTTGTGACCAAAAATATTGCAACTGTTTTGATTGATTAGTACAAGAAATGTATTTTGAATTTTTAGACATTGTATCTGGTCATGTTAGATTCTTGTACTAAGGGACCTGAATGGAATGATATCATGTATTTCTTTTGTATGAAATATGTGTTACATGCAATATGTGGGTTGGGGCGTTACAGAATGGTATCAGAGCCCGAGTTTAAGAGATTTAGGTATTTAACAGCATGATACCTAGACTTAAACTGTTTTATTGCATGTTAAGGGTCCCGGACATAGTTAGCACCATTGGAGATAAATATGATGGGTTAAAAGAACAGTGTGTAAGGTAAATTTTAATTACATATGGCCA